GCCATTTTGTTACTTTAGTTGTGAATTTGCTAGATTCACAACTGATTCCGGGAATCACTCACTCACTTGGTGATTCCGACCCCAAGACAACCCCGTGTGCAGCAGAGCACTCTGCTCCACAAGGTCTCCCAGGGCTCACCGTTTGGTAGCGGATTGCCAGGCCTGTCTTCCGAGATTCCTCTGGGTGGGTTTGAATCTCCAACCTTGGGTCATCTTGTCCAGTGCATTTGGACCGTCCTTGTGATGCCGATGTCAGTTTCCCCGCTGCAGGTGTTGCCGCTAGGTTTCCCCCGAGTTCACTTCTCGACGCAGATCAACCCAACGGGGCTGAGATAGGAGGGCTGCGTGGGGTTTCCCGGGCATCTTCTTTAAAAAAAAATCATTTTATTGGAGGTTCGTACAAGTCTTATCACAATCCATCCATCCATCCATTGTGTCAAGCACATTGGTACATTTGTTGCCATCATCCTCCTCAAAATATGACCAGCAGGTGTTTGTGGGTGACCGCGTGGAAATGATGGTGGAGGTGTCGGAAGAAGGTGCCCAAGTGATGTGGTAAGTGACCCTGTCCCTGCTTGTGCTCGGAGCATCTTGGAAGCCGCTCAGATCTTTGGGGGACACCTTCTCTCAAAGGGAAGTTGTCGGGAGCCCTCGGCCTTTTTTCTCTATAGCATGACCTGCCCACATGACCTCTTTCTAGAACTTCTGGCATCTACCCAACCATCCCAAGACCGAAGGCTCCTCTTTGGGGGTTCTTATTCTGATTTCTACAATTTTTCGGATTCATCGAATCATTGGTTCATTTCCATTTACATATTGATCTCTTTACTGTATCAAGCATACATCCTTTGGTGCATCTGGTCATGTATCTATTTAAGAATTCTTCAAGCTATCAGTCTATCTATCCATCCATCCATATATCCACCACTCATCCGTAAATCATCTACTCATCTCTTCAGGGTAGCCATTTAATTATCCATCCACTTAACCATATATCCATCCATCTACTCACCTATTCAGGTAGCCAATTAATCATCCATACATCCAACTGTCACCCACCTGTCATCCATTCAGGTAGCCACTTAATTATCCATCCATTTTGTTAGTCCTGGAAGACTAGAGAAACAAATTCATAG